GCTGACCGAGCGGCAAAGTATGCTGCTTGTGCTCCTCTAATTATGGATGATGTCATGGAAAGGTTGGATCTTCAAAGATACATTGGAAGAAAAGTTAAAGAGAAAATTGCAGAAGGAAATTTACAATACCATCATCAACACTACTCTTGCATTAACCCTCAATTAATTCCACTTTTATATCCAACAAACATTGAGAAAGGCAAGACTCCAACATTTTCGAGAATTCGCCTTGGTCATACTAACACAACTCACCAATGGATCTTGAAGAAGTCTTCCTCCCCAATCTGCAGTTGTGGACAAACTCTAACTATAAACCACATTCTCTGCGACAGCTTTAAGTTTTCCTTGGGTAGAAGTATTGCATTTGGAACGATTAACCCTTTGAACATTCTACAATCAGCTTCAGAACAGAATATCAATTCTATACATTACTTTATTAATACTACTAAGCTCATTAACTAATGTACATTTTATTATTCTTTTTTATAATTAGAGCCTGTGTTGCTAGTGCTCAATGTCTTTTTTTTAGTCTAAGAATTCATTGGTCTAAAATTAAAATAATAATAATAATAATAATAACAAGATACAATAACTATACTTATAGATTCCACAAGGTAATAAAGGCCGCCAAAATTGTTGCCATATACCACAAATAAGTTGTTTTGCTGCAGAGTGGAAAAATTGTGACTCTGCCGGAAGGAGTAAATGGCTATCGACATACAGGGATCGTCTTCTACGTTCCAAAAATTGTTGCGAATTTACTGCGTAACATATAATATTTCAAGCCTAGCTGTTTCACCTTCTTCACCAAATTTACGGGCGATATCCGATCCGGCGTTGAGATTAGAAGTACATTGTTCATTGCCCAAATAGACTTTTCAAAGATTTAGTTAATCGTGTTACTCTTTGTAGTAAGCTTGGGTGTCCAACTTCTTGTACGTAGCGGTGGAGGTTACTCGGTCATACTCAGTAGACAAACCGTCGATACCTTTTCATAAATATGGTATCAAAGTCCATTACTACATCGAGGGAGGTTATCTAAGAATTGATATTGATTTCCTCCTTATGTAGTCTAGCAAAAACAATCTACCAGGATAACACGGCAAAGGTCACATGAGTACTGATAATGAATTACATCACTCAATAAGGATCCCCTCTCACTGTTTAAAAGAACATATTTTTTTAAAATTAAATTTTATTCAGCAAGGCACATTCATTCAACCGCTCGTCTATGAGCCTTAGGTTCGGTAAACACTTTAATCATCTGAACCTAATTTCTTTCTCTCGAATACCTTTTCTATGTCTACAAAAAGCCAGAAGTCGCCAGAGCACACTTTCTGCTAATTTTTGATCACTTTGGCCAACTTTTGCAGCCTGTTACCCACTCTGGTAGCGATTACTTCAATTTCAATTTATGGTATGGATCCATATTTCATCCATTGGCCCATATCGACGCAAGAAATGCTTTTTATATCACATGAGCACCAACGTTCTGAATCGGCGACGCGTAGTTGCTTTTGGTCTGTCGCTGCAAGCGAGGCAAGAGCTCTTGCATGCAGTTGATAAAAAATAATAAATACACTGGGTTCTGACACATTCAAGGTTTCACAGCTATCTCACGCAACTTCAGTTTGCGATCTTTCAAAACAATTTTTTTTATTATTTTTCTATGTTTTCTTGAACAATTTCGGACCTTAGGTGACCAAAAGTTGATCGCGTTTAAATTCAACATACCAATCAATAATACTTGAGCTAGCTGCTGATTTTCCCTGTAAACTAATTGCACCAATATCATAAAATTTTGGCTGACTGAACATTACGAACATCTTCAAGAATTTCAATGTACTTATTGATGTCAGTTAACAACTGCCGAAATCCTTACATATGCATAATAATTTAGTTTCTGACAATAATATTATTTGTTATCCCCAACCGATATCTCACATGTCCACATATACGGGTCTACCTATAATTTAATTTGAAAACCCTTGCTGCGTAGGTGGCAATTTTAAATAAACAAAGTAAACAAAAACAAGGAGATCATCATAGCGGAGCATCATTACAATCAAATCATTGAAATAAATCGTCAAGTTTCAATTCTGGGAAAAACCGATATTAAAAGAAATTGATACATGCCATGTCACGTGCAATGCATCACGAGGTAATTACAATTACAGTGCTAAGCACTTCGTTTCGTTGACGCGCAGTGTGAAAAAACTCATCAGAAATAAATAAATATTAACAAAGCTCCAAATGAGTATTTAAAAGAAAATATCTGTAGTAAAGTTGTACGAAGGAAGGTTAGATACGCAGCCAAGGGCTTCTCACAACCAAAGGGGATTAATTATTTCGAGACTTTTGTGCCCGTTACCAGGTATGCGGCCCTTCGTTTTGTTATCTCCGTAGCTAGATGTATGATATGATCGTACATCAAGTTGATACTGTTTCAGCCGAGTTCAGCAAAGTTGAAGAAGAACGTACATATACATCAAGACTTGATGACGGATCAAGGAAGACATGTAAGCTAATAAAATGATATTAAAGCATTGAATGAGACCCTGAATCGGAATTTTCTTGAAATGGGATTCCGTGGGATCGAAGTAGACCATTTTGTTTATTATTTTATTATGGACGGCAAAATGCATGTCATTGTCGTTTACGTCGATGATGCGTTAATGTTTGTTAAATAAACTAACCTTGCAAAATCACACGAAGAGAACCAATTAAAAAAAATCCAAATACAGAAATGGGACAGGTACGAATCTCTGGAGTAAATTTTATATCTCTATTACTGACTTGCTCTTCTTTTTCGCCAAATTAAATCACCCACAATTCTATATAGAATTAACTTTATCCTCCAAGTCACTTTAGCGATAATATGTACAAGTATATAATTCTGCATTCCTTTATAAGCCCTCTAACAACCTTATTCTGGCATTGCTGCCGCTCAACGGCCATAAAATTTGTGCTATCTATCATTTTTGCTATATCTTACCTTTATGTCAACCTTCGTATTCGGAAGCAAAAATGACAATGAAACTCTCCAATATCAATTTTGTGCTGAAACATTAACTTACGAAAAGCACAGAATAAAATATAAAAAAAAACGACGTAGCGTTAAAAAAGGAGCATATTAAAGGTAAATTATTAATATATTATTATTATTATTCTATTTTTTTAAGCTGCAAACTAAGGAAATTGATTAACAAATAAATCAATATAGAAAGTAAAGTTTTTAAAGGCCTCTCCTTACTAAAATTGCAATTATTTTTTTCTTCAGATTTTATTTATCTTCTTTCCATTTTTAAAAATTTTCCTTTACTATACTTTGTTACTAGAATAAAAACGCTCAGCGATCTGCTAAAGAGTAGATGTCATGTTTTTGAATTGCACATATTTACGCTAAAACGTTAGAGTACCAAAAAGAACACACATAAAAAAATACCAAAGACGATTTTGCTGTTGTTTGGCAAAAACATATGGTTAGTAATCTATCAATGATTGTGCTCCAAACAAGCGGGTATATTACTCGCAACCTTCCACGTGCTATGCGCAACCCTCTAAGCTAATATGTAATTGTATTGCTATCTTCACTCATTGAGTTATTACTGTTATTATTCTAGGCGCTGACATTTTCATGTATTCGTTAATTAAAAGGTTTCTAATAGCATGGCGGGTGTAGCCGCCGAAAGCTATAAACGCAACATGCAAGAAGAGATCGTTGTTTTAGTTATTTATAAGCATCCAAGGGCGCAGGTAAGACGGTGTCTTTGTCGTGTTTAATATTGGAATCGCAGTGCATATCCAATTCTATACCGCAGTAAACAATGTATAGAACCACTTTAATATTATGTAGGTTATGTGAAAAAAAAGAAAAGTATATAAATGTGTGGACATCGGCTTTTCGAACTATATCTAAATTTTATGGAGCGCGACAAATATACCACACCGATGCAATAAATACTTGCGTAAGCGCCCTTTGGTCTACACAGGAACATTTGTCTTTCTTTTCACGGACTAACGGCATAAAATTATCTGCTTTCTCTGCAAGTATGACGTTGATTTAGATTTGCATCCAATCACCAACTACAACAAAGCTAAGGCAATCCTTCTTCTTCGTTTCACGATGAACTACATGAAGCAGAAAAAACAGGACCACAGGCTCAAATACAATTGCGCATTAAAGGATATGTCTTTTGTTTGTGTTGTTTTATTCACTAATGGAAAAGTAGTTTATGCATTTTGCTTTAGCTTCTCCTTTTGGTCAATTTTATCAAATGGAAAAATTTTTTTATGCCTGTTTTCATTTCGTTATTTCTACATATTTGTGCAAATTGGGAAAACCGCGTAGTTTTTATCAATAATCTGTTTCTTTTTGTTTTGACTCAAAAAAACGTTACCTCAAGAGAATGCAACAACGTAGTTCACATGCAATAAAAATTCTTATTTACTTAGTAGACGACATTGGATGAAGATTTAATTAATATTGTGTTTATGGATATTTACTCATGTAAATGTAGCAATCATGTAGCGCAATATTTATACCTCAAACGCTCTCTTCTTCTTTCTTTGAGAAAGAAAGAACCAATATTACCAGTTAGAACAGGGAAACCGAGAGCCAAAACCGAAAGCTATTCTCAAATGTAATTATTGATCGCATTTTCATTTATATCATATGCGTGCCTAACAGTAACGCTATCACCTAGATATTGAACAAATAATCATTTGAGGTGGTTAGATGTGGTTTTAAATACATATATCGTTTAGGTAAAACCCAGATCTAAACTTGTAAACGAAACGGAATTACATACACTTCGTTTGTATCCTCCCGTTCGTGCAAGAAGTTCTTATTCATTTCCATTTAAAAACAGCATTGTAACACACATATAATACTCATGAGCTCATTTTATATTACTTATTATGCTTGTTTCGACTTTTTGGCCGAATAACATGTTCAACAAAAAAGAACCATAGTCTTGCGACAGATCTACAAAACTTACCATCTTGGAATTCGCCTTTATTGCAAAGATCTCCAATGAATTGGTGGGTGCCATGGTACAATTTATTAAACTGATGGCGTTGCTGCATGTCCATGCAACGACGTGTATAACTTTGTATGCATCGCACTCCCTTTCGTAGCTCGCTGCCAAGAACAATAGAGGATAATGTAAAATGTAAATTTAGAGTTGACAAATAGCAGATGTAGCTTTTGGTGCATAACCCACTTCACTTTATTGATATATTGCAAGAGGTATAAGCATGTTGGACGACAACCCTGAGGAATTCCCACAAATGTGTAAAATTATACGTACGTCAGCATGAACTTCAAAGACGTAGTTGATTTGTGAAGAATTGCGTTCTACTTGTAATAAGTTCAACACCTTTGTGTTGTACGTTAACGATGGGTGTTTAGCTTAAAAGGCTTTGCCAAGAGTCAGACAACATTAAGAGCAAGGTTGCATTGCAAATTCTGTAGCATAAAGCCACCTGACTGATGGTTATGAATGAATTATTTATGCTTTGTAACAATCTGTCAGCGTTTGACATGGACTATATTGATGAGGGGCTTTAAAATAACAGTTTAAATGACTCAAACGGAAGTCAAATGCAGTGTGTTTGAAGTGAATTAAGATGGGTTAAAGTGTTAATTTAAATAAATCTTCGTACACACCAACGTATGCAGGTATGAAGAAGCAAGTAATATTGAACATCGGACAAGGGTTGTCACTGCATACTTAAGGAGATTTGATTTAAAGATGTTAAATTAAAAAGCTCGTCATTATTTATCTTGTGATGATTTTAAAGCAAATTTTAGACATAAAGCTTTTTGTAATTTTTAGAAGAAAACAATAAATATACAATGACAAAGTTGCAAATAAAAGCAATATGTTGGTTTTCCAGCTTAAAACGATGGAAAGAAATGGGGAATAACTTAAAAAATAAATAATACTACCCCTGACCCTCCTTATCAAACAAAGCTAGATAATAAGTAAGTAATAAGACCTGCAAAATTAAGTCAATGGACAATCCCTTTACACTCCACGCCTAGATAGATTCTTTAATAAGTTTTAAAATCAATTACTTCCATTGTTCCAAATAATAAGATTTATGATATGATATTTATATGACAGATATCTGTGAATGAAATTTTATAGAGAAAAGTACTGTAGAAACTCTGCTCCGAAAATTGTGGAAAATTTCTTTCATGGCTAAATAACTAAGCATTAATATGATTATATTCCAAGCCAAACTAAGTAATGATTTTACAAAATAGTTTTTTGACTTACAAATTTATCACGATAAGTTCGGTCTGCATATGTCCATTTGACGGATTCTTGTATATATAGCGCGTTTAAGAAAGGTAAATTTTTATAAAGCAACAACATATATTTTTTTATAGGAAGGCGAGGCCACACTTTGTTAGGTGAAGTAGTGTAGGATATTTAACGGCCGATTTTGCTTGATTACAACGCCTTAATTTGTTATTACTTCAATTTGTTTTTTTAAAGTTTTGCGATATAAGTATTTCTTGACAGAACGTTCGTTCGGCTGCACAAAATAGTTATGAGCAATACGTTTTTACAATGTACAGCAAGCGCGAAAACAAGTACAAACGGAAGCATAGATTCTAAGGATCCACTGTGCGATATTCACCAGTAGTTCCACCTTAATATTACAATCCATTCAAATAAAACTAATATGTTGCAATTTGCGTGGTTATATTTTTTAACAATATGTGAGACGTTAATAATGTTCAATTTTGAAGAATATTTAATTTTAGGAATGTAAATGTTTTATACGATATATAAATTATAAAGAAGTTGGTGAAGATTGAAGTTGAGAAAATTGCCTTCAAAACAGCAAAAATTGTCAAATGCCCGGCACATCATAAATCGTAAGTTAGATGTACGACAGGAACCTATTAATTAGCAGATATTAAGCTATAACAGTGGTATCTTTGTAAGAGCTACAATTATTAACCGTATAAATACGCAAAGAAATTTTTTAAAACATTTATTTCCAAAGCTAGAAATATAAGCAATTAATTGTGTTTAAGGGCATTTTGAAAGAAAAGAAATGAATATAAATAAGATTTTGAACGAGAGCAATAAGTGAAGATCTATTACAAATGGTTTTCCAAGTTTCAATTGAAGGCTATATCACAGGAAAAGCGTCAGTTGACCGCCGATGTTAGTCCTATAAAATAATTAATAGTAGTGTAGTCACAAATGAGCCATCGTACATACGTTTGCTGCTTTGCAAAAGCAGTAATACGAAATGGGGGAATAAATTCAAGGTTCGAAGGAACGCACACCTTCATCGCTTGCTAAATGTATGCTTTAAGTTAATCAAACATTTTATACGGAACGGTTTAATATATTATTCGAATGTATCGAACTTAAAATAGAATGATTAAATGCTGTAAAACTTTTTTCATTAACTATTTTATGAATTCCCTGTGTTACATAACTAGCGACCCCCAGAGCAATGCCAACCTTCGTAGCAATTATCCATTTTTTCGCTTACTAGTGTCGTTAACAGAATAAAATGACTAAACAATTTTCTAGAGAAATCTGAAAAATGAATGTATATTGCAGTAGCAAGATTAAAACCCCACGGGGAGGAAGAAACTGAGCATCTAACCGAAAGAAAAATGCTGCAATCCGCAATTAGTTTTGTTCACTAATTTACAGTTACAGTTTTGCCCCTTGTCATTTTGTCAACCTCGCTGCCAACTCTTGCTTTTACGTCTACCTCTACGCTCACCCGTGAAATGTGTGTTGGAGGTAAAGTTTAACGAATTAAACAAATGAAAAACTTCATTGCGACTTACTGACAAAGTTTATCCAACTCTTCTTTCTTGGCAGCCCCAATTGAGAACTCCGACGTTAAGTGAAGCATTTCTAGCGGTTCCGCACATTTAGCAAATTCTTCCTGGCCGCATTCCTCCGCGTCGACAGTCGTCATTGAGGCGAGGGCGACTGTAATTGCAACTGCAATAAAGCAAAGCCAAAGTTTTCGATAGATTAAAAAAAAAAATAAAACAAAATAAATAACAACAACAATGAGAAGAGAAAATCCACATAAAATGTATAAAAGTAAATAAAACAATAAAATAGAAATAAAATGAAACAACGTTGAGACATTGAGACAGACAAACACTGACAACGCTCTGTATGTTTCAATACGAACTAAGAAATTGCATACAAACATTCAGATTCGAAATCAGCTTAAAAAAGTTGAAAATGTGTGCCATGGATAATAAAATTTTCGTAACTTAAATTGGCTTTACAAAGCATTGGCTGGGGAAAATGTGTTGCCAGGCTATTCTATATATATATATATGTTCTGCTCGCCTTCTAAGTTGTTGTGTGTTGATACAATTACAAAGATGTACGTACAATCATGAACATATATCCCTGTAATACAAACTCGCTTGCATCTTGTTGTTTAACCGTACGTATTAATATATATTTCTATAGATGTCACTTTGTATATATGGATACATTGCATTTGTTTTCTGTTTGTACGCGTCCCAAATCGATTAGTTTGTTAATGGATAAAAAGTGGCTAAATAGATATATTGCACTTTTTATTGCACTTTCTTGGCCAATAACACTGATAAATGGGCGAAAGTAAAATTCCAAATGGTTTTACGGTGTTTTTGAAATACAATGCCTTGTTTGCCAGATGTGTCAACGTCATCGCGTCCCAACCGAAATGCATATGTAAAAATACCTCTAATTACACTTCATTTATACGGTGAAACTAAGCTAGCTAAGCAAAAACTAGTTACGTGTACTTCTTAAACACGGCCTGTTTTCTACTGTTGACATTCTTTCTTCACTAATGGCCACCTGCGTAACCATTTCCTTAGCGAAACCTATCAGATAAACTAAACTATTCATATGACAAGAGACTCGGCGCCAAACTATTGCTCTTCGTGGTCTTTCTTAAGATTTAAAGCACCAAGGTTATATTCTTGTTTCATATCCCGTTATTTAATTTGATGTTAAACAAAACCGTAAATACTGCTCATAAGAAGCCGTCTACCGCTTATCATAGCACGCGTCATCAATTAAGAAAACTAACTTGTAGTAAATGGCTGATGTTGATGCAGAAATTTATATAGATATTTGTCATCGGAATTTGAAATCCAGTAAAAATACGTTGAAACACTTAAAATAATGAGACCCTTATGGGTGTCAAATATTGGTCCTAAGGCAGGTAGAACTTCTTTATTTATTAATAAACAATTTTTTTAAAACAAGTTCGGGAAAATGATATATTGATAACAATAGAAAAAACAAAGCAATCAAAGATTAATTTAGCGCAATTTGATTTCATTGCACCCATATTCCAGGACCAATATTTCCTAATTATTTTATATCCAGCAATTTGAAACGTTATAGTCGAGTAAGGCCCATTATCAAACATTATGCATCATCTCCTCTAACACAACGTTTCTTGGAGCGTCATCATATGGTATTAAAAATTAAACTTTGGTCTTTTAAGAAGAAGGGTTCTTGTGAGAAATTTTAGTAGGGAGGGAGTTCAAAAAATAATTTATTTCTTAACTAAATTTTCGACATCCATATATATCCCGACATGCCAATCATATTTTTTCGCTAACTTTTATCGAAGAATGTTCAAAATGCATTTTTTTTAAAAAGGGCTTTTTCACTACTAACGCACCATATGCTATATGTTAAATGGTCCGATTCAATTTATTTTCAATAGCCAAATTACACATTGGAAACGAATAGGTAACAGACAAACGAACATACACAAATCTATCCGAAACACGATTCTAAACGGCGAATCAATGACGAATCCGATGTGAAAGGCGAATAAGGACAACAAAATTAAGTTTGCAAAATTTTGACAACGTTAGGATATGTTTTCGTTCTGCTCCCGTATGAAGGGTGTTGGTGTCTTGTCACAAATTGTACTGGATATGAATCAAAGTGCTGTACGACGTTTAATATATAGTAATTGGCCTCGCTCGACTGTAAAGCTTTTATTTGCTTCTTTTTACATTTTATTAACCGTCTCTGCTTCTTTGTTATCTGATTTCGTTTTTTAATCAAATCTTGATTTGCATGGTCACCGAGAAATGAGATATGTTCTAAAGCGAAACACGTCTCCATGTCACTGTTAACTGATTCGATTCAACTCTATTTTTAGTTGACTTTGATTAGTCGAATTTTTAATTAATATCATCAGCCGGTTGTTTCAGTCCGGTCCAATTCTTATCTGAATTAATAATAGCTGCTAAGTCATGTGGTACGATTTTGCAGAAGAAGTCTAAAAAGAAAATTATACATTTTCGGGATTAAAACGAAATATTTTAGATAAAAAAACTCTTGTTAAACAAACATACATATAACAAGCGAAAACTTGGAAGGATACGAATTGATTTCAATTCGTTGTTCAAAATTGTTCTATTGTGCGGGATTTCGAGGATTTAAAATTTTAATCACTAGAAAAAAAAAAAATTAGTAGATATTGTAAGAGGCTGAAATCCGTCACTGACTAATGCGCTCATTGACAGAAATATTATTTTGGTGAGAGCAAGAGGCTGGCCACGTCAGTGCAGAATAGAGGGCGACGTACTTTGCGTTCCGCTCTGTGACTCCTCATACTTCGAGCACTCCACACAATCGATGAATTTCCATGTTACAGTGTAACATAACATTATACTTCTAACTAGTCGTCAAAAGCAAACAGATATTAGTATATATTTTTCAAAAAGAACAAGGCAACTTTCAGATATCTGCACTTTTGAGATTAGTTGAACTTCACACCGTATCTCTCTTGCTGGAAGGCCCTGTATGGAAACGAATTTTACCATTTATTTAATAATTCTTTAAGTATGATATCTATGAAATTCGTTTTATATTCTCATAGCAATACTTGTGGACAATTCCTAACTCATCTTTTCTGTTTCATAAACTAAACTAAATCTTTTCTATTTCATAAACCAAAGACATTCCTCTAAAACGTGTGCCAATATCTTGCAATAATGACAACAAAACATATAATCTTTTAATATTTCTTTACGATTACTTCGCTGTTGCACGCTGACTTCAAAAGGGATCAAGTTATTCCCTTATATGCTTAAACACAAAATGTAGAAACATCCATTTGTGAACAGGATAGTCCTGTTGTCAATTAGCATTTTCTCTTAGATTTGGGACGCTGAAATATGTGCGCTCAACCCATTGCGAAATAACCGCGAATAAAGCAAACACTTCAATCAAATTTATTGATGTGTTGAACATAAAAATTGGTATGAGCCGGAATGATTGTTAAACACTGACTGTTTAAATCTAATGACTACGGGACTTTGCACAAAACTATTTTAATAAATTGAAAATTGACAAAAAAAAGTATTAGATTTTTCGCTTATCTAAAAACCATTTATGAAAAATATTTCGTTATATATACACAATGCGTATATATATTACACTATTCTTCAATTAGAAATCGGTTTTCGAACCAATTAAACATTTTTAAGGCGTTTCTTGGTTCGAACTATTCAGTGCTTTCGGGTGTAGAATCTGAATAAACTGGCAGGCACTTTGTTCACCAAATCGTCCAAAGATCTAAAAATAATGGATAAGAAATGCTTTTCTGAAATTCGCGAACAACTAGTCAGTAGAGAAGGAGATTGCTTTTAATTTAGCATTGCAGACTACGTTTCATATAATTGGTAAATTCTGGCAGTTAGAAGAGAGTTTAATGAGAAAAATATACATTTTCCATTTCCTATTTTCTTCTTTTCATAGATTAGGGTAAGATGTGAAATTAATAAATATATTTTTGCATTAATCCAAAAGAACAAAAGACGATGGATTATTTTTCATTGCACAGTTATGATGGTGCCGTTGCCATTGTAAGCTTTGCTTGGCAAGTATTGTATTTAAGCAAACATGCTTCTATCGTAAATATTTGCGGAAGATCCCCTTTACTGAAATCCTTTCTTGTTTTGCTTACAAATTGATTGCTTGCTTTGCTACTCTACGTAAATATATACTTGCATATGCAAATACGTGTTGGCATTTACACAGGCGAACAGCTATTGTTTGCAATTTTAACAAATAGATGGCACTCATTTTGGGGGTCTTTGCACATTTTACTGCCAGAAAATTCTGCCGAACAAACGACCATTTTGATCCAAAATTTATTGCGTAAAATTGTATTTTTTATCGATTACACACCGCCTTATTCTGTTAGATATCGTTATTCATATGGAACGCCACAATGAATTTTTTGAAAACAATAAAATTTTCATATTCATACAATTGCGTTCAATACAATCACAGCATGGCAAGTAAAAATTATTTGTTAACAACAACAAATGGACGACACAAAATGAAACGAGCTGGAACCATAACGCAACACAACAGTTAAAAAACTTTAGGAATTTGTAAGCTGTGCATCGGTGTACATAGGAATGAATTTGTGTACATAAATAGTGCAACCACAATCTAAAATTGCATACGAATGCGCATATTTGCATATAGTTCTCAGTGTTCTCCCTTCAACGGTTAAAGGTTGTGGGATCACCACTCGTCAAAAACTCTATAAAGGCCATCCGTATATACGTCGTTTATCTCCTTCACCGGGAAACGAGACCCATACAAAATCTGAATGGCAATAAAGCACCAAGCTTGAAAGTGAACATATTGGAAAAATCCGGGTTTGACCACTAAAAATTCTGCTGGTTACTTTGCGATACTTTGCGTTAAATTTAAAAAGGAAAGGAAATAAAGGAAAAAAAAAAAACAAAATCAATGACTTCGAAGCTGGGTTAACTTCTCTCCAAGTAGTTCACAATTTTCGCCCTTAATTAAGTCAGAACTCCTCTTGTCTTTGTGAACTTAATGTAAAAGCATGTCGCAACATTTTCCTATAAGCTGGCTTGTGGTTATGCGTCTGTAGTTGTGGTACTGTCAGACAAGTGAGGAAAAATCTTTAAGAAAAGTAA